CATGTCATCCGACTGATGAATGACTACAGGTTGAGCTCACCCAGCGGCACAATATGTCAACGTCCACGCTTATGAGGGACCCAGTGGTCCATAGGTGCTTACATCGACAAGGGATACATACGAGGCTCGCCAATCCGCTCTGTCCCTTGTATTTGGACATATTGCGTAAAATGTGAAAGGCCTGGGACAATTTGAGATTTGATCTGATTAAGCACTAACTTGCTTTGAAAGGTCTAAAAATTTTGTGGGAATCTAAAACTCCTGTTTGATGAAGTTTGATACTTTCCCAATGAGGAAAAAAATGTCTAAGTCAATGTATTTTGCACATCAGTAGTACTAATTTAACAGACGAACACTATCAATGTTACAGTTTACACTGTCACTTTGACTTTGCCAATTAATTAAGGCTAGATATATTTTTAAGGCATTGATTTATATAGTATAAATTAACTAAATAACATAGGCTTTCACTGGCAACACATCAGTGGACTTTCCTAGTGCATTATAATATATGCTATATTATAAAGTGCCTCCTACTGGTAGAGAATCAATTTACATTTTCAATAAGCCCGTCTGCAGTTTGTGTTTAGACCAATGCAAAAATCCACCCATATAAGCATGTTTTAAATTAATATAATAATCTATACATGTGACTCATCCCTTTTATTAAAAAATAAATAAAATAAATAAATAATAATAATAATAAAAATGGTTTTAAAGCCTGAGATGTGAGGTTTATCATTTTATAATTCATTTAGTTTTTCTGAAAACCTATATCTCAGTCATTTTACAGTTAAAACAGTTAACTTAAAAATTACCCTACCCTGCTCATCTATCTATCTATCTATCTATCTATCTATCTATCTATCTATCTATCTATCTATCTATCTATCTATCTATCTATCTATCTATCTATCTATCTATCTATCTATCTATCCGTCTATCTGTCTGTCTGTCTGTCTGTCTTTAATACAACTAGTTCAAATAGTTTGAACACTTTGTAGTTGTCAATCCTTAGTGGAACATGTGCATCACTGTGATGTAGTTATGACTACTGCAACTACTGTAGTTACAATATGCAATAAAGTTCATATAACCTTCTTTTAAGTGTGACATAATTGTCCAGATATGTTTTGGGTTCACTATAAATTCACATAAAATCTTAACAGACTACTGTCTGTCAAGTGTTATCACACAAAGACAGCTAAAAAAAATTAAAAATAAAAAAGAGAGAAAATCTATAAAAGTAACCATTAATCTAGCTTTTTCTTTAACAGAAATGTTCACAGGAAAATTAGTTTCTGTATCCTGTCCTCTTTTTTACTCTGTCTCCATTAGCTATCAATAATCATAAAGAATCTTAGTTGAAATAGGGCAGAGCTTGACTGGGTCGGTGCCTTCTCACTGTAGGACTAGAATAACAACGTTCTATTCCCGGCAGGGGGCCGATCAACAGTGGCATCAATCAGTGTAATAGGAACACACCAGGCTTTGCCATTAATTGTGCGGCTTGGCATGCAGAAACACAATTAGAGCAGTGGAAATTAGGCCATGTGTTTAGCAACTTGTAAGGGTCATGCTGGCACTCATATGTCATGTAGCCGGCTGGTGGGATGTGTAGAGTCAGTACGGGGTCTTTCTGCACTTCTTTGACAGTATGTTCAATATGTTTAGCGTTATTCTTCCGGTAATGTATGGAAAACATGACACTGTGGGTCACAGGATCTGTTCTCCTACTTCCCACTCACTTCGACTCATTCCACAGCTTTTTTTTTCCCTTTTAGAACTATTTTTGTTGTTAGCATTTTTGCCTGTTTTATTAGGACGGAGAGAGATAGAGGGGGCAGGAAATTATGGAATATAAGGGAAGAGCAGCCTCCAGATGTTGTTTAAGCTGAACCTGAGGGAACTTGTTGTGTGTCAGTTCCTCAATGTGAGCAATATTTTAATGAATTTTCTTTCTTCTTTCTTTCTTTCTTTCTTTCTTTCTTTCTTTCTTTCTTTCTTTCTTTCTTTCTTTCTTTCTTTTAGATTTAAATGTTAATTTCTCATTATTTTTTGTTTTTAGTTGCAGTATTTTTTTCCAGTATAAATTACCACTAAGTATACAACATTTTCCAGAAATATTATCTGAGTATGCATTTTTGTGTGTCAGTGGTATTTTAGCATTATTTACATAATTTTTTTGTTTGTTTTTTATAAATGTTTTGAATTAAGCTTTTATTTTTATTATTAATATTTATTTTCTTAAATGTTCTTATATTTTAGTCTTAGTATGTTGTTATTTATTTGGTATGTGCTTTATATATATATATATATATATATATATATATATATA